TGTTGTAATGTCTGCGGGGAACAGTTTGTCCGGTGGCTCTCGTTATTGTTTTGCGGTAATGTTAGCTCGTGAATATTGCGCAATCAGCGCCACAACTTTCTCCCGGTAAACTAAACTAAAGCATAATAAACTACTAAGTAAGTTACTATACGGTTAGATATAAATTTTCACGTTTGTACTTAGGGTTAAATAGTGTAAGTCTTCTAAATATAACGTGGTATTCCTAAAATTGAAGCTTCAAACAAAAATTTTCTAGTAATGGCGTGGACAGTAGACATTAGTTAAGGTACTGATATAATTATAGATAACGTTGACTGGAATATGAGTCTGAAATTAAATACTTAAGATGGGAAAATTATTGTTTGAAGTGTATCTATGTGTCGGGAGACAGACAAGTGTCAGTAGGGTTACATTAGGTATATGGAGTGTGTTTTATTTTTGGTGTAAGGACGCTCGCACAGGCACGACTTTCGCATTAGTAGCCGTCTTTCCCTTAATAGAATAAGTAAACGATTAATATTACGAATATTCTTGTTACGCGACGCGTTACGTGTGTCGTCATCGCCTTAAGTCATATTGTCCCACAGTACAAAATTGTAGTGAAAACCCTGTCCGATCTGAAGGGAGTGTATTGTTATATTTTTTTATCGTAATCTTAAAGATATGCATTATAATATCGTAATCGTAATTATAAACATATGATGTCGAACAGAGAGTAATCTTAAAGTAAGATGGCGTCTATTTTAGTATTCTGCTTATTGATGGCCTAAACTCATGATACTTACGTAGGTATTTGGTTACCTAGTGCAATGTTTCATTCGGTAGGCACATTATTTCTAACGCTAATTATGTACTAAGTACATTCCTCGTAGATCGGTCAGGTTTTCTATTACACGCTGTTTTTAATACTTGAAAGCTCAGAAGCATTATAGAGTAAATTAATAGGTAATTCTGGTATAACCATAGCGTAACTTTTCTACTAGTTGTAATCACATTTATTCCACTTAAAGTGAATTTATTGATATTCAGCATTTTGTAGTTTGAAGCCAAGCTTCTATTAGGCTAAATACAGACTTGTGTAACTTGTAACGTAACGTAACAGTGTCGTCGAACAGAACTGTATGCATTTATGTTCATAGGTCTGTAGTAGTAGGTCGCTCTCATCCAACCAATATCTGATCACTGCCATGTTTTAATTTAGTACCACATACATGTTACACGTTGCACAAGCGTGTACTCACTGTAACTTACACGATAACTTATTGCAGTAACGCATTCGAGTGTACATACATAGACTAAAGTTATTTTCTTATACAGGAATGTAAATAACATAGTGTGAATTGTTTACCTTAATGTAATAAGATAACCACGTACCTAAATCGTTACTTGGAGTTAGTTGAAATAGTCGCAGCGAAAGCCGTGCCGAGCTACGCGTCTTAGTTAGGTAAATGTGCAGTGTCTCGCGTCTTCACGGTGTTGACGAATTCCGCATTATTATGAATTAAATCATAAATATTTATCTTTTCCAGTAAATAAGTAATGGAATTAATCATTTAATTTTTGTTCAGTGCCATTATTAAAGTATTACGTTATTTTTAAAATAATGTGTTGCATGAAATGCATTTTTTTATCATTATTATACATTTCAAATAGTTTTCTTGATTTCGGTCACAGTATGTTTTTTAGCTGACAACGAATCTCATAATTATAGTAAATACTGTTTCTATTGTCGTACGAAACTTAGATAACGGGTTTGCAAAGCAACTCCCTTCTTGCGTGTAATGTGCTCGTAGAGTACAGCCGGGGTATATCGTGAGTTAGGGCCGTGTTAATGGTGTCTCAGAGCTCTTGCCTGGAGCCGACCAACAGCCGACGTCTGACGAAAGGTGCGCTGATCTCAGGACTTAACCCATAACTACAAGTTACCTTTATTTAATGAAGTCGTACCGTTTCGTCAGACCCGTCGAGAGTAATGAACAGCGAGACCCGAGGTCGTTATTGTACAACGGAGCTGAAAGCTGCTGAAGCATTACTTAATTTTATGATTGCACCTACTTTTCGTATAATTTGATTTTAATTAATTTTTAAAATTATTTTTTTATTATAAACAGTTCTGTGGATTCCCGACATTTGTTTACTTGTTTTCTTATTATAAAAACTAAAGTGAGCTGATACGTACAGTCATCATTTGCTATGTCACAACATTAGCGTAATACTATTGACTTGCAAGTAAACAGGCTTTACGGATGATCACAGAACCAAGTCATACCTATACTTTATCGTAAAGCGATGTGTATTTTGTGAGATCTGCTAGTTGCTAGCAGTATAATTGTGGTTTTGTGATAAATACAATAAAATTGACAACTAAATGATATTCGAACTTAATGATAATTTTGTACAAGTTTTTGATCACGAGGATTGTAAAAGCATTCGAAACTTTTCAGTAGTTGAGACACGTCACAATGTTGTGTGAAGAGTGTGGCAGCTAACGAAGCCGTCACACTAAAACTGCATAATAATGATACAATTATGAGATTTTAGCGAATGTAATAAGCCATTTTCGTGCTATTTTTGTAACTTTATCTAGAAGCTTGTGTTGTGTTAGTCTTAGTGTAGGTAATTATATGTATACATTCATCTGCCCTTCCATGTTAAGACCATGTCTCCAGTAGACACGGCCTCTTCTTACAACTTTATTGTTAACACATAGAGAAGTCAGTGAAATGTTTGAGAATGAGCAGGCAGCTGTCGAACGGTCACGTCCAACTGTGGCACGACTGTACTATTGGTAGTTAGCACACATCCAGAGCGCGAGATCCACTTGCAAGATCTTCGCGCGGACTTACGCTGGCAACCCCCACCTGCCAAATATATGACGGAGTATGTGGGCTTCGCGCTCTGGACTGGTCGCATTTCCGTCAGCAAAGGGTGGATGAATGGCATTGTCAATATCAATGTGTAACAGTAAGTAGAATTTTTGTACACATGACTCGCGGGGCGTCAGAACCGGGTCACTCCGGCACTAGCGTCCCGCGAGCCATTTAGTGGTGTTCAAAAATCAACCATAAACTACCTCTTTTTTGTAAAGTTTTTAAGACTGACGGAAGGAGTAACCATGAATGGTGGAAATGGTGGTTTGATCACCGCTTTAGAAGCCTGTTGTCTACTATTTTATTTGATTTTTAGTTTTCCCTAGATCGTATCGTTAGAAGCGTCCATAACACTGTCACGTTTAGTTTGACTTGAGCAATGCATATTTACACCATATATTCATGTAGTGTAGTCCAGCTTACAAATTGAAATAGCGAGTGGACAACAGTCTTGTTCTGTAGTATAAGTGTGTCTGGCGGGGGTACCTGCGGACGGGGCCGTCACCCGCGCCGGCCAGCCGCTGCACTATGGCCGGCTGTGGATGACGGATGTGTACGAAGTGGTCCTCGGGTATTGCCGCCGGTTTATATATCTACCTTAGCTTACGTAATTATTGTAATCATCTCTTAAATGTGTGTAATGAGACTGAATTTTTTAGATTGTTCCTATATTTTAATTTAGACTTTTTTATTGCCTACCGTATTTCATTTTATTTGATTTTACCTTCGGTAAATAAATATTCATTCATCATTACATTACATTTCAACCTTATAATCCTATCAATTTATGTATGACGCTATATAATGTCAAATTTTTGAAATTTTTTAAATGAATTTTGTATGAGAAATTAATCAAGTGATTGATAGAAAAAATGGACTTTTATTTATCTACAAACACTTTACTTATCTAGAAATAGCCATAGAAAATATTGTAACAACATAGAGAGGCTGATCAACAATGCCTGAACAGAAACAAAATATTACAGATAATATAAAGCTTATTAGAGATACATCGAAGGAGTATTAATAACAGATGCACTCATACGTCTCACACGTAACCAGTGTCATTGTTAGTCGATTCCTAAAGTCAATAGATAAATATATTGCCTCTCAATATAAATCTCTTATTGGTTACAATCCCAGACATTATCCACCAAGAGTTTCGAAAATCTTCGTGTAAAACCCATGAGTCACTTCGTTAAACCAATAATGGTTCCGAAAAAAGACTGATTGGAAGTTCTCAAAGTTCCTGGTTTATTTATCATATGCAAGGGAATATAATACTTAGTCTTCAAGATCCTTAATCAGATGCGGGCCTATTTATTAATTATAATGATCCACGATATCTTCGTAGAGAACAAAGAATCAATAACATGAAAGTGAATATGTTATTAATAAGTCACGCAATTTATTAATTCCCTATAAGGGTATCAAACAGTTTCAACGTCATTATTTTTTAGCAATCGACAAAAGATATTTTCAACTTACTGCATTATGGTTTTATATCTATAGCAAAATATTGTTGCTAACCTACACATTTCTGGACTCTATTAGAAGGAAGAGAATGACAAAATTAAATTAAACAAATCAATAATTAAAACAATGCCGTATCGACTGTTTTCTATGTCGTAAATAGGCAAACGAGTAGATGGATTACCTGATGGTAAGCAATCAGCGCCGCCCATGGACTCTCGTAATACGAAAGGAGTTACTACAAGTGCGTTGCCAGCGTCTTGAAGGTTATTAGGGATTAAAGGATTGAGATTAGGGGGTGTGGGGAAGGATTATGTCTCCGGTAACCTCACTCACACGGCGTAACACAACGTAATTGTTGTGTCACACCGGTTCGAACCAAAACCACGTAGTGTGCAGTAAGTAGAACTTTTAGTAAGAGATTAAGTAGCAAAGTAATTTAACGATACGAAATGAATTTATGGAAATTAAATAAAGACTGTTTACAGATTGACGTACCTGTCAATTATTTGAAATGAATAGAATTGTCAGTTTGCGTTACCTACTTATTGAAAATCAAACATTGTACTTGATAAAACTACTTTTGATTATAAGGAGAACTATAATTATTGATTAAGGGTAGTTTAATAAACGAGTATGGGACATCATATTAGCTCAATGTTCTCCAGTTTGGGAAGATTCTTCGAGTACCCTGTAAAACGGAAACCTATTTGCTTCTACAGACAAGAGGATTTTAGTGCAACAGGTAAATAAATAACGAATTCAAGTAGTAAGTACACAAACAAACACAGCATTAAAAACGTTAGCCCACACGAGTGTTTTCTCCTGCTTCGTGGGTGTGTTTACAAATATACAAATAAATAATATACAATTTCACATACACATCACACCCAGACTCACAGCAATTTGTGGATCAAACAAAGAGTTGTTTGACATCAAGAGTCTCATTACAGGTCCTCCCAAAGTAGCATTAGATACATTCTAAGAAAAATATAATTTTACAATAGGTATCATAATATTTTTAAGCGCGAAAAAGATAAGTAAGAATATCCTCTTTTGTAATTGCAAATGCGCATCGAGCAAGCATGGTGACTAAGCTCAAATCTTCTCCGTGTGAGAAGAGTCCTTTGCTCAGCAGTGGGCACTTCTATGTTGATGAGTTAGTGAACCTCTTTTCATAGATCTTGATCGCGTTTGTAGTTATACATACTCAGTGGCTCAAATTGTGAAACCGCAGCTTCTTAAAGCATTTTGGCTATATCTATCACCTACCTACCAACTTAATAGCCTTTTTTGTGACGGGACAATCATCAAATGACTTCTCCCGTCCAGGTGAGCCGAGAGGGAGTGTCAGATTCTCACTGACTAAAAACTTCCCCGTTGCTTCGGCTGCTCTAGGCCGATACCGCGGTGCTTCATTGCGCTTACCCCGCAACCACAGCTGAGCATCAGCCCTATATCACCCTGCCTGTGGTGGTCTATTGGTATTTTGAGACGCGCGCTTCAAAATCTGCCTTTTTCTATGTCATACGATATCTTTACGAATTCTGTTGCGCCTAGGTGAACCACATAGGAAGGTGGCAGACATGCAAAGGCAGGCCGCGACAGACTACGACAAATTGGTCGATCTGTTCTACACAAGGCTTGCTGAACAACGCCAGTATAACCAAGTAGGTTAAGTTACTTTTATATCAGCTACACACATTTATAGTAAAATACTATAAATTATTACTCATAACGAAAAAATCTAATTCCTATCTACAATTTTGTTGTGTTGTGTTTCGCCGTGTGAGTGAGGTTACCGGAGGCCCAATCCTTCTCCTCCCCCGATCCCTCCTAATCCTCCTAAATCTCCAAAACCCTTATCCCTAAAAGGTCGGCAACGCACTTGTGACTCCTCCGATGACCCGCAACGGCCATGGGCGGCACTGATTACTTACCATCAGGTAATCCGTCTGCTCGTTTGCCGACCTATTCCATAAAAAAACACAAACTTTTAATCAGGTGTTTAGAGAAACATTTTGGGTCATTGGTTTATTGAAAATAACGACAAAAAGCTCTTCTAGTTTTAAGTTACAGCGAGACAAGTTTAGTGACTCGAAACTAGTAGAGCTTTTGTTAGTAAATTCACGTAAGTCGTTATTTTCAATAAATTTATTAAGTAATACGATAGTTAGTTACTATACAACAAATATAAAAAGGTACCCACCTTACAAGTTCTTTAAGTCTGTTGTAGACAGACAACACATAGAAAGTACCTACATGTGTACTTAGTTAAGTTCTCATAAAACGATCTCGCTTTAGAGTTAGTATTACCTATGAATCTGATCCCGTAGGAGATGAAGGAGAAGGATCGAAGATGGAGCATGCAGAAGGTGGTGGAGCGGTTCCCCGGATGGAACGAGGTCACCATCGCCAACCTGCACAGCTTGTTCCTGCTCTTCGACAACCAGTCCAATGGAATGCTCGGATTTGATGACTTGTTAGTTTTTTTATGGAATAGAAGTCTAACGGGCAGACGGATCACCTGATGGTAAGTGATCTACGTCGCCCATGGACACCAGCAACACCAGAAGAATCACAGAAGCGTTGACGGCCTTATTCTTTTCATCTGCCATTGTACAATTTTAATCGTTTGGGATAGCAATTGGATTGGTGACAGATTCAATCAAAGGTATACCTAATTTGTCTCGTATTTCGCAAAGGGTAAGTAATTTGTCAGTAGCCTCCGATAGGAAGACATCTTAGTCATCACAGTTCGGTATTTTAGTATAGAAATTGTGGGAATAATCTTAAAATATGAATATACCTATCAAAAGTAGTATAATTTAATCTATACAAATAAAGCAGTCTTGTTTTATTTATTAAAGTTGTAAAACAATTCTTCCCACGTCGTCGGTCTGTCTATTAATCATAAACTCGAAAAATAATGAACAGATTTTCATAGTTATATAGAATAACTCTTGACAAAAACTTTCATTTCACACGATGTAAATATCTTCAGCAGTAAAGTTACGATTGGAATAATTGATATTTAACTTTATGTATCTACACATGTATCTATGTTTAGCGGCGCAGTGTTGGAGAGTCTTGGAGATGAGAGCGGCATGGACGTGCGAAAAGACAAGTTCAATGCAGCAGACACAGACAATGACGGCTGGATAACATATGATGAGTTTCTATCGGTAAGGGAACCATCTTTACTAGACGCTGTTGATATAGATAGTGGCGGTGCAACCGGCTGCGGATTCACTAATTATTTGTCAGGGTAGTATGTGCACACCCCATTTTTAATAATGCAATTCCACATGCACACAATAGTAATTCGTAATATAGGTTACTTTAGAAAAAGAGAATTTATTACCATGTTTACACATACTAGGATACCAGTGTTGCGAAAGCTCTGTTAGACTTTGCAAAAGTGTGAACAGTAACAAAACAAATTAATTGTAATAAAATTTGCTTATCAAATTTTTTTACGAAGCTACGTATTTTTACACTTCGCTGTCGTAGCACTCAGTCTACGAAGCTACGCAACTTAAGTCTTCTACGAACACTACGCCAGCGTTGTGAGCGTAGTCTAAACTTGCGTAGCTTCGTAGCGTAGAAATCTTAATAATCAACCACATTCCAATCTTAATACATTATTTAAGATTCCATACACATCTAGGGTAATTTTTATCAAAACAATTAATGTAAATAATTAATTATAACGTAGTGTTTTAGCAACATTTTTTTCTACTGGGTGTTTTTTATAATGGCAAACTATTGTTGGCTCTATCTGCACATGGAACGCATTTAAAATTTCCATAGATCCCTACTTATTTATTGAATATGCCCACATAATCGTGGCTACAGTACTTTTCTATTAGTAAATTAGTTCGTCTGCGTAATCAATAATCATACAATGATGGGGTCAGTTTAGCCAATTTATCTAGTAACTGGCCATTAGTAATCGTCATAGTACCTTTTAGAAATGTCTAACATGACGGCCTTTCAATAAAAATCAATGTATTACAAAGCCAGCCCATAACCTACCTCAATCTAATTTTAAACTCTATCAATTTGCAATAAAGTTGGAAATGAAATGACTAGAAAAATACAAAATGGAGTAGCTTGATGCGCCATTCTAAGGGTGGGGCGTCTATACTTTAGCATTAATTTTATTCGAGTTAAACTTTTAATGTTTTTGTTGTTTTTCTGTGGTGGTGGTTGCATAGATAGATATAAAATTGAGTTTCTTTTTGTTTAGCTGGTGTATAATTTCAACCCTAGCGAGGAAGGCAGAGTCACGGGGCTGGCCGCTATGTGCAACGATGTCGCGGAGAATATACAATTTGTGAGCAACCTCACCGTCGGCGAGCAACTCGAATATGGCTTGTTTTAAACAATTATCAATTATGACTTCTTCTTAAATATAGTTGTTAATATATATTTTGCTTTTTATTTTCTATCTGACTTAAAAACGCCTCTTAGTCCCAGATGCAAGACGTCAATTGTCAATTAAAAAGAAACAGTATACGTGCACCTACATTCATTAAATAAGTCTGTGAATTCATTCCAAGTCTACTATAAAACGTCTTGTGTGACAATAGATCAAAAGTTGTAATGGTTACGCAAAATAGTACGTTGGGCAGCTCTTGGTGGAATTGTGGGAAGCAATTATAAACAAAAGTCACTTGTTATTAGTCAAACAGCTAACTCGTAAAATGCATCGCCATAGACGTGCTCGTTGACTGCACTATCTGGCAACGCCGCGTCAGCTTGTAGCTCGCACGCTCCAACGCACGATTGTCATTATGAGAAGTCAACGCATTTTATTACAAATAGACCCATACACGCACTTTTCAAATTTCAAAAATAGAATGCAGCGTTCGTCTGTCGGTTATTCAAAGCTGGTTCCTAAAAGCATAGACAATAATGAGCAATAAACACTATAATAAAAAAAAAAAAACCAAAAAAATATTTTTCTTAACTTAAAAATAAAGTTGAATTTAGACGAATCTGTCGATTGTACAATCAAAAGCGTTGGTAAGTAAAAGGACGCGTTACCAAGGGCAAGCCCGTTGCTACGGCCCGCGATTCCTCTGATCCCTTGAACACACCCTTCCCTTTATACCCTAACACAACCGGTCAGCCTCGCAAGGGACACCACGCCCCTACACACAGAGCACAATAGTATTTATTGGAAGATACTTTTGATAATGCGTTCTATTACTGCACTGTTAGCATTGAACTGTAAAACTCGAGTTACTACGGGCTACGGCGTAGGCGATTTCGCGTGCGTCAATTTGCTACGAAATTGGCAAATATAAATGACGCGTAAGTTCTTGGTAATAAAATACAATTTTGTTAATAAAATAGATCGTATTTAATTCTTAAATAATAGGAAATACATTTTAGACTTTATAGGCATTTGAGTAAGAAACATTATTCGATGTCATGATTATGAAAGGTAATTTAATTAGTGTAGACAAACTTTCGGAAGACCGTGAGTCACTTTATCAAGCTAGCCAGTGAGTATATGTGTGTTTGTGAGCGCATAGCTCTCTAACAACTATACCAAATGAGATAATTCGTTTATATTGTCGTGTTAGTTATTACCAGGACGAGATCGGTATGAAAGAAAGAGATAGCTTGTGAAAAGAATTTGTGGGGACGGTCGGGGCAAAAAATCAGTGCGAAGCCAGTAGATGTGAGTTTGTAACATCGTATAACAGATAAATTCAACGCAATTTTTGCATAGCTCTTTCCTTTTTCCACGATCAAGTATCTCATTTATACAATTGATGTCTATTATTAATATCGGAGTAAATCATCATCACTGAGGGAGTCGACGTCGCTCAACTCGTTGAGGGAGGGGTCGCAGGCGAGGCAGTGTCCTCCAGCGTCCTCCCAGCACTCCGCGCAGTATACAAACGGACATGTTGGCACGCTGCAGCAGTGCCATCGGCCAGGGGTCCGCATACCTGATGTAAAAGAATACAATAATTATGGCCTAATCATAATGTTTAGTTTAAAAAAAAATTGAGCAACCAGGATCTAGACTAAAAAAATACGCAGAATTATAATTTACTCCAAATACATATGTACATATAGTAAAATCGTTCCATATAATATATTTAGTCATACAATAAACATTTTTAAATATTACACAATAAATTGTTAAAAACACAATACAATTTCAAAACATAAAATACAAATGTACGTATCTATTATTGGACATTTTTCTCCATTGATATCGATGCGGGTGAACTTATCGTTGCATTACGATTATTTGCGTTCATTCGCATGGAGCAGGCGTGGTGATTAATGTTCTAACCTTCTTCGTATGAGAAGAGGCCTTTGCTCAGCAGTGGGCACTTATAGGCTTTTTTTTATGATGATGATGATGATGATTAGTTTTAAATTAAAAGTAATTTTTAGAACTGACCGCCCATAAAGGGTACCTTAAACTAAACATCGATTATGTAGCATGCAGTAAACTGTTAAACTAATGCCAACGAAATATGTGAAGGACAACCGGTACGACAGCTTATGGGCTCTCCGAAACTCGAAGGTGCAATGAGATATTTTGATATTTGATGATACTTATACATTGATACCTTAGCTAAGAATTTTTTTTAGTCATTTTAGATAAACGCCGTATACTTAATAGTCTACCGTCAAAAATGGTACTTATCCAAAATGTTTGGATAAGCACCGATTCAGTGCAATTTCGATAAAGGGTAAAGCGGGCTTCTCATGCATGAGTGTACGAGTTCTAAACCAGGCAAGTACCAATGTAACTTTTTCCAAGTTATAAGTAAGTACTTACTTACTAGCTTCCGCCCGCGGCTTTGTCCGCGTTGTATGTTGATAAAAAGCAAACTATTTTAAACTATCCAGCCGTTTTGACGTGATAGAGTAACAAAGATCGAAACATCGTTAACTTTCGCATTTATAATATTAGTAAGATATGATTATTTAGAAACCACTGACAAACGGCGCGGCGAAGGAAAACATCGTGACGAAATCTCGATTTATAATTTCTAATTAGGTATGAGTTTGAAATCGCCAAACCGCCTTGAACAAGTGTAGTGATTGATGCTCAAACCTTCTCCGTGTGAGAAGAGGCCTTTGCTCAGCAGTAAGCACTGGGCTGATAAAATGTGTGTGTTTCTTTTTAAACTTTCCCCCTAGGATTTTCTCCTGTGTTTTGGGCGCGTTTACAAACTTACAATTTCACATAGGTACATTACACCCAGACCCGGAACAACAATTTGTTGATCACAAAAAGAGTTGTTCAGTGCGGGAATCGAACCCGCGACACGTTACGCCACAGCCAGTTGTCCAGCCCCCGCTCCAGCCATATTATCCTACCCTTTTTCGGGTATTTATACTCAGGTCTGCTAGGCTGAATGGGTTCCAAATTGGCACAGAGACAGATTAGATTTGACTAGTTTGGTTGTTCGAATGCGCTTATCTCAGAAACCGCTAATGTAATTTGTAGCGAAAATAATATTTTCGTGTTGGATAGTCTTCAGCGTAGACGAACACAACGCTATATTTCCAGTCGTCCACAACGTCCACAGTATGGACAACGGGGTGTGGACGAACGGGAACGACCCGTGTAGTCCACTTATAGAGGAATATTTTTATATTACACTGCACCCTTATAGTAGTCACGAGTTGAAACAGTAAGCTTTTAGGTTATACAGGTATGCTAGTAAAGCAAAGACCAAAAGTCCCAAAGTCAAGTGAAATTATATAGTACTAGCTTCCGCCCGCGGCTTCACTTGCATGGTGATCTTATTCCAAAGTATGCCTGTAACTATGCCTGTCCCAAATTTCATCCAGATCCGTTCAGCCGTTTTGACGTGATCAAGTAAAAAACATCTAAACATCCGCATACATTAGTAAGAAGTAAGATTTTCTTAGATCCACTAACCAGTTCTAGGTTCTGTCTCTCCACATATAAGGCAGGTCATTCTGGCAGCAGGCAGGGCATCCAACCAGCCCAGCAAATAAGGGAACTTCATCCGCAAACTTAGGAGGTTCTCTCCAGAGAGGTAGTGTGCTCTTACGGCTTGGATTGCTTTCCTATATTAAACGATGATGCCATAATAGAGTTGATGTTTCTTTTTGTAAAAGTTAATAAGTTACTAATGTGATATGACTATATCTACTAATGTATAGTATATAATATTATAAAGCTGTAGAGTTTGTTTGTATGTTTGCATGCGCTTATCCCTGGAACTACTGGTTCCATTCCAACTATTTATAGAGGAAAGCTGTAGGCTATAAAACATCACGCTATGACCAAAAACAGCCGAGGACCGGGTGAAATGGCGCGGAGGAGCTAGTATTTTGTAGATAGGCTAAGCAAATTACCTGATGGTAAGCAATCAGCGGTGCTCACGGACACTCGTAAAACTAAAGGAGTTACTCAAAGTACGTTGCCGACCCCTTGTGGATTAACAAGGATTTAAGGATAGGGGATTTACAGAAGGATTGGGCTTCGAGTAACTTTCGAGGAAGGAGTGAGTAAAATGAGTGAGCTCATACGGCGCAACACTTCGTAAGTGCTGCTTCACGCCGGTTTCCTGTGAAGACGTGGACTAAGCGGCCGATCCCTGCCGAAACATGGCTCTCCCACACACAAACCTGCGCTTATGGTGGACGAAGATCGTAAAAAGACGGTGAAAGACCAGAGTGATCAATACCTGCGTAAAGTTTTATCCATTTTCATTCGCTTTTTAAGGATATCATTGTAGAGATGTAACACACGCTGCCTCTCACGCAGAGGATAAAAGTAACTGCAGATTAATCTGAAATGTAAGTCAAGATATTGAAAGTAATTGTGAACAGGATTAGACCTCGTTTATTTCACTGATATTCTTAATTCTTATTTAGCCTCCATAACTGCCAGTTCTAGCTCTCGAGTCGGAAATTCAGGGGTTGTCTACGGTCCACCCATCAGAGGTTTTTGGACGTTCGTAACTTGAACCCTATTTATATAAACATGTGGATTAAATTAACAACCGATTTCAATTCACTTCACCAAAAAGGTTTTGACTAAAACTTCATGCAATTAGTATGCATTTTTTCATTTTTATTCTATCATTAGAGTCAAGAATCAATCTGAGTCCAAAGATGAGATTACCTTGTTACTTATTTCAACAGAAACAATAAGTAGCAGAAATTATGTAAGTACCTTCTCAGCCTAAGGGTATACGGATTAATATACAAGAGTAAAAGTATCCAGACATATCCTCCGTAGATCTTGAGGAAGTATATGGGTGGCATGGCGCGTGGTTGGGGAACACATAGTTTGTTTGTCATCACTCTTCGACTGTCCCGAGTCGATGACAGGTTGTTTATGAGTTTACGGAGCAGATTTGCTAGAAGACCTATGCCTTCCACCTGGGAACAGTTTTGATAATTATCTGTGGCTCGCAAATAATTATTTCAATTTTCATAAGTAGGTATTGTCATATTTGTTTTTTTTATGGTATAAGTCGGCTAACGTGCAGGCGGATTACCTGATGGTAAGCAATCGGCGCCGCCCATGGACACCCGCAACACCAAAGGAGTTACGAGTGCGTTGTCGGCCTTTTGGGGATAGGGGTTGCGGATATAAGGATCGGGAAGGGATAGGGGAGTGGGAGGTATTGGGCATCCGGTAACCTCACTCACACGGCGAAACACAACGCTGTGGGTTGTTTCACGCCGGTATTCTGTGAGGCCGTGGTATCACTCCGGTCGAACCAACCCATTCGTGTTGAAGCATGGCTCTCCCACACTTAAATATTAAAAACTGTTCGCTAACTTCACGTTTTCTGTGAATGACAATTCAAATTTGGAACACGTTCAACGTTATTACCTCTATTTTTAAATCCTGCGTCCCCTGATGGACAAACTCGAGGTGTGCATGTTGGCGTACTACATCCAGAGCTTCGTAGAACAGCCGGTCCAGCATCACGAAGGTCGTGGCTGTCACCACCTCTAACATCACCTTTAAGATCTGCGTAACCAGTTTGCTGTGCTGGGTCCTCACATACGACATGGAGTATATGTCCACATATTTACTTCGTTCCATCTGCAAATTGTGTTCTAGAAGAGTTGCTATTTGTACCAGATAAGCATAAAAAGAAATGAATTTTTGTATCGTGAGACAAACCTACTAAACTTACTGAATCGAGTCACTACGAGGATATTATTCACGAAACAAGTCTCTGTGTGATGTGTATGTGAATTTGTATGTTTATAAACGCACCCACGACACTGGAGAAAATCCTTGTGTGAGCGTGAGGGCAAGGTTTTTTTAAAAACAAATATGTGAAACCTTAAATACCTTTTTAAGTGGTAACAGAGTTATTTGATTTTTCCTCCTCCTCATTTCGTCCAAGTATTTAAAATATCCAGTTATGTACAGGTTATCAAAGGTAATATTGGTTAGGTACATGTCATGGTACGTTATGGCGGCTAACACTATCCTCAGGAATAGGATGGACATACACACGTTCAGTGTAATAATTACCACACCCATTATGATGTGCTTCTCTTCAAAGGAGTGGAGTACACGGTCCCCCGTTTCTTTTGCATCCTGGAGTATCGATGAAAAAAGAGATGTTATCTTTGAAAGCATTTGATAATAGACATTTATTTGTACTTAACACGGACATGGCTTTTCTTGTGAGAACAGAATCATAAAATAACTCCTCTCGCCTAGGGTGGGGCGAGAGAGAGTGTCAGACCTGACTAAAAAAGGGAAGGTTTCTTCCTTTTCTTATTCTAGGCCGAGGCTTTATTGCTCTTACCCCGCAACCCTGGTTGAACATCAACCCTTTGTGGTCCCGTCTGTGGTGGTCTTTTGGCTCTTAGAGGCGCGGAATGCTAAGCGCCGTATGATCGGGAACACAAACATGGCTGGTGCTGGTGGCACATGTTTGAATAACCTGCTTTATCGTGCAATAGGTTATTTAGATTTTGACTGAGATATTTTCTGTTCTATTTCGTTAATAAATTTGCAGTTTGAACAGTTGAACCCGCTTTTGGTAATTGAGCCAGCTAAGTTACGTAGACTAAATCTATGACCAGCGAATTTAGTACTAAGTATTGACTCATTTCTGCCTCACTGGTAGAAAATTCCTAAGGCATTAAGTCCTTCACTTCATGCACTGTAGATACAGTGCACTGTAGATACAGTGCATGAAGTTCGATTAAATAAATAAAACTTGACATGAAATCTAGACACGAGAAGTTTGTTTAACAAAACCCTTTATCAGGAGGGAGAATCGTCAAATGACTTTTTTCGCCTAGGCTAGGGCCAGAGAGAGTGTCAGACTCTTACTGACTAAAAACCCCCGTTCCTTCTCCTACACGAGGCTGACGCCGCGGTGCCCTATTGCACTTGCCCAGCGACCCCGGTATAATAAAAGACCCTGGTGAATATTTCAAACAATTTCCTCACCTGTATATCATACAATACGCGTTGAAACTTAATTTTGTATTTTAGGTTGACGTTCTTTAATCCACCGGTCAGCTCTCGCGTCGCTTTCTTGAGGGCTACGTAACCTTCTCCTAAGCCGTGGTCCACCTATAGAACAAGCAGGTACTGAAGCGTCACGCATGTAAGTCCTCTGGGGATTTGAGGTAGACGGAGAAATTAATCATATAACAAGCACACAATTACTTTACATTTCTTACGATTATATAGTTTAATTTGTAATAGTGGTAGATTGGCCAGTATCATCATCATCATCAGCCTATAAGTGTCCACTGCTGAGCTAAGGCCTCCTCTCACGCAGAGAAGGTTTAGAGCATCAATCACCACGCTTGATGTTTATCTCACGGCCTGTTAGTGGTGTCTAAATAATCATAGAAAGTACAATAACTCGGAAAAACTCACATTAGTACTTGCCCGGTTTCGAACTCTCATGCATGAGAAGCGGGCGCCTTAACCTCCGGGCGATCACGGCCAGTAGGTACCTTATTATAATATATCTACCTATCAACAAAATTTATATTTCGCAATTGTATAATAATGTATCTTCTGGAATTATCCTCATAGGCTCTGATTAATGCAAATTAGACGCGACGCCGTGCGAAAATAAATATACGCGAATTTCTTTTTACTATGCAGAGAGGCTAATCTACAGATAAATATATTTCTGAAACTGAATGCTATACAGCGTAAAGAAAAACTTAGTAACACTGCTTTAGAACTTCAATAACTAAGTTTGTTCTGAATATGGACTGATATTCTTATTTATATTAGTCCGTTAGTCCGAGGGATGTGGGGTCGTAGTGTGTGGTCGGAGGTTAAGGCTCGCGCTTCTCCACCACAAACACCACTGACAAACAGTGACGGAGCCCATACTTAATAATTATAAGTTTGTAATCGCCAATCTACCGTGCGCAAACGTGTGGTGAATCGTGCTCAAACCTCTCCGTGTTATAAAAGGCTTTTACTTTCGCGGTGGCCATTTATAGGCTGGTGATGATGATGATGATTGTATTTTGGGGATAACACACTGAACTTGATGCTCAGAAAACTAAAGTAGCACCTACAACAGTTGCGGTTTTATTAACCAACGAAGCTGACTTAGTTCTATTTCAACAAAGAAATTAATAAAAAAACCACTAACCTTTTCCCTGCTATCACAAGTATCACCTTTATGAAGTAGGTTAAGGAAATTGCAGGCGTATTTAAATCTCAGAGGCCAGCATAACAACCAGGCGTTAGCGTGACGCACGTTGTTACAACACGTGTCATAAGCCAAAGAAAACGCTTCAATACAAACTTTCTTCGCTTGTGTTAACTCGTACTCGCATCTGTATTCCAACTTCTTTTCGTATAACTTTTGAAAATGATCCTCAACACTCTTTTCTGGCATGTTTCTAAATACAAAAATATTATGTGTTAACGGATTGCTGTTGTGATGATAAATGAACCGGCTGAAAGATGTCTAAGGAATAGGACGAGTGTGGGAGAGCCATGTTTCTGCAGGACGGCCGGCTCCACCGGAGTGGTACCATGGCCTCACAGAAAACCGGTGTTTTGCCGAGTGAGTGAGGTTACCGGAGATACAATCCTTTCCCTCATACTCAATCCTCAAATCCCTAAGAATCGACAAGCCTGCAACGCACTTTCAGTAACAACATTGGTATTACAGGTGTCGATGGGCGGTCCCATTTCTTACTATCAGTAATCCGTCGATCTATCACATAAAAAAGAACAATCTAGACTCGAGAAATCGCAAGATATATCAATTCTTACTATCACTTAAACATAGCTAGAAAGTTGGTATGGTAAAACATAGCTTAATTTGTATTGCATATTTTATGTATACTTATAAATAATAATACTAACAGATATTTGGTTTCGATTTCTGACGGTCGCAGCCATGTCTTGAAATGAACGTCCAAGTCATTGTTTTGTTCTTTCATTGTTGCGACTTCTTCCATATTCTCTATTTCAAGTTCTAATGGCGCCACTATATCACGCACGGATCTGTAATGACAACATTATTTTTATAAATTGCACATTTTTTTTAAACTTTACCTCGTGATAGTTCGCTGTGGAATTATATAAAACTAGCTTTTCCCTGCGACACCGTTCGCGTGGAATAGTGACTTCCTGCAGATTTTTGTATAAAAACTATCCTATGTCCTTTCTCGAGTTCCAAGCTATGTCTGTACCAATTTTACAGACATCGGTTCAGTAGTTTGGGCGTGAAGAAAAGTCAGACAGACAGAAACCAGAGTTACTTTCGCACTAATAATATTAGTTTGGATGACAATATTTCCATGGTTGGATTTTGGTTGGCATTTTCTTTTGTGATAACGCAATTAATGAGAAGCAGCGCAGCGGAAGGCAGCCATCTTAATTATTAACAAAACTTGAAACAGCTCTCGTGAGACATTGTGTTCAATTTTAATAATGTGGTGTAAAATGCGTGCCTAATTCCCACTAACCTTCATTAACCCACTTGAAAAATATAAAATAAATAATTGAGTTTCTCTATCTATATTATCGAGTCGGTGCACCCACTGACTTGCTACAATTAGTTCGGACAAGTTATTGAAACACTCGTGGGTCGCCCGATTGTCAGCTGTTAGTGGCTATTGTAAAAAAAAAGGTTTGCCATCCATTGTAAATTGGGTGCTGCGCCCACATCTGCTTAGATACCCCTGTGGAAAAATACAAAATGGCGCTCCTATATCTGTGTTATTTTAGGTTCCGGTGATAAGTCGCTATTTTTGTCCCTTTTTTTCTAGAGTACCGTAGTATGTTGCTTCGTATTTCTATCCCTTTTTACATTGACTAGTTTACTTGATAATTCAAATTCGGTTTGTGTACAGATAGTAATAAAAATAAAAATAATAGGTATCAAGTATAAGTTGTTTCTAGGCCGAAATGTCTAACAAGAGAAATAAGTATGTTAGGTCACTTGAAGTGGTAGAACTCAGAAATATGTACTTAAAATTAAGAACAACAAAAATAAAATTCAGATCTCGTTGTAACTAAATATGATATCAAAATTATCAAATCAGTTTCGCTATCTTATAGGTTCTAATAAAAATACGATTAACATCATTAATCGTGCCGGGGACAAACGCACATTCGCGTCGCTGGCACTGAGAGTAGAAATTTCACAAAAAGTACTAGGCTTGCACGATTTAGCAAGAGGTCTACGTAGTTAGTATAGTTTTTGTTCAAATTGCATGAAACGCACATGTGAGTTGGGGACATACAGAGTTGCGTACTGAAAACGCACATAGCTGCGTTGCGAGCACTGAGATCGCTCTAACGTCAAGGCGACTATAGTGGCCCAAAAGTGTTGAATGTTAAGGCATCTATGGCAGGCGGCGGCGTATCGCGGGCACTGACTTTTACGAAGTACTAGGGTCACATAATCTAGGAAGAGGTTTTCAAATGGTATGAACGCACATGTGAGTCGGGAGCAAATAGAGTTGCATAGTGATGACGCGCATACTATTGGCGGGCTCGTGAGTGTTAGAAATTGAACTTGAATTACAAAGTCGTACAAAATAGCATAGGCAGAAAAAGGTGAATGTAATTTGCTTTTTAAAAATAACCGGTGTTAGTTTTCTTGATAGAAAACGTTTATTAAGCCAAATTGTTTAGATTCGAATTTTCAGAAATAGCATAAAGTCTAAAACGATACCTACCTATCTAGTATTGACGAAAATCGGTATCATATGTAACATATCAATAACTTCTCTGTGTACCTCTTTAAGATATATTTTCTGGTTACAAATTTAAAAAAGAATACATTATATACAATAATGTCATTGAAGTAGCAGCCGCTCAATAGCCCTAGCTGTCAATTCCAGCTTTATTCAAGGCATTGTCAAACGCACGGACGTTCATATGAGAGCAGTGACGTAGGCCAGTCGAAGGCTAGCCTTATAAACAGCCTAGGCAACAACAGAGGTTCATTTATGTAAAGCAAAGAACATATATCTCCACAAATTAATGAAGAAATACAAAAAAATGTTTTGTTTCTTAGAAAAAAGTTACCTTAGTAAGTAAGTATGTAGTTTTTTCTAGACGATTCTCGGTAGTTAACTACAAATGTATCTCTTGTACGATTCAAGGAAAACTAATTATATAATTACGTCTGTCATACTCATAACAGATTTTTTTTTTGGCTAATATAGAGATCATGATGGACTAGTAACTAGTAGTCAAGAAAAGCTTCTCTCTTACACCCGGTTTCCGAAAGGCCGATTAATGTTACAATCAACTTAATCCCTTGTCAAGTCATCTGATTGGCTGACTGAATTATCAACAACCAATCAGATGACTTGACAAGAGATTTAACAGGAGATTAGTTAATTTTAGCGTTGACAAGCCTTTCAGAAACCGGGTGTTACTCTTATATAACCCTCTAGTTTGTATGTTTTTTTTTCTTTTTGTTCTCCCACCCAGGGTCGGGTGGGAGGGAGTGTCGAACTCTTACTGATTAAAAACCCTCCCGTTCCTTCTCCTGCTCTGGGCCGTGGCCGCGGTGCCTCATTGCGCTTGCCCCGCAATCCCGGCTGAACATTAGCCCTATAGTAGCCCGTCTGTGGTGGTTTATTGGCTCCTTGAGCCGCGCGCGGCACGCTACGCGCCGTACGTTCTGGTCTGGTTCTGGTCGGGTGGCGAGTTACCTGTACTCGCCGTCGCGCTTACGGTAGCCTGAAATCGTCTCTCGATTCCCGACGCCCGGAGTGTCGCCAACTGTGGCTGGGGCGTGAGGATGATATAGCTCTCTCACGCGGTTGACCTCCTTCTTTGCGAGCATAGCTGCTTCACAGAGAGAGGAGATGGCTTCCCAGTTCCTCTCGCCACGCACCATGGCCTCGACTAAGACCGGGCGGGAAAGGTGGCCGCCGCCGATCAGTTTCCTGAGGACACGGTGGTGCTCAGTCCACGCAGGGCACAGCGCCACCGTGTCCTCTGGGTAGTCCTCACAATGACGACACTCGGTTGTTTCTCTAAAGTTCACAGCTACACTTACTCGTATCAATCGAATGGGACAAAGTCAACATAATCACATTAAGTAAGCGTTGTCCATCAGTGGCGCTGATTGCTTGGCATCAGGTAACCGGTCTGCTAGTTTGTCGGCCTATCAAAAAAAAAAAAACGAATTTATCACTAATTATCGAATGTAGAGTATTTTGGTATCACTGTACCTGAATGCATTCTTCATTTGGTCCATCTCATGCTGCAGGCTGAGTGCTGTCTTCTTGATCGGCTCCAGCATCAGGTTGTACCTCTGCTTGGACAGGTTGAACGAGAGTTGTGTGCTGCATGCAAATACCCTCACTACTTCTCGAGCATTCAGACCCATGTTTGTTATAGGACCTATAGGTACAAACAAACAAAAATGCTTAGGTCACTAGACTTACATTATTATAAGTAGGTAACACAAAATCCATGTTTGTTCGCGATAAGCTCAAACACTGCTTAGTGTCTGAACAGATTGTATATCGAATAGATTTTCATTTTCGGTTCGTATACTAGCTGACCTGGCCAATTCCGTACCGCCCCAAATATAGTACTTGGTTTTGGCCTTTTAAAACTTCTCTTGACTTCCACGAATAATTGGGTGGTTTCCTAGGTCAAAAATAAATTAATTCGACGTTTCAATGCAATAAAATATTGAAAAATAACTATACGTTTATTCATAAATCGATCGATACACTAAGTTTTTGTTTTTTAGCTAATTATCAAGAAGTAAGTAAGCTATTTGACGCAAAAATGTTATGACGTCATAACTCAGATTTTCATACAAAATTCATGGAAAAGTATCGTTTTTGACGTTTGGATAAAAGTATTGAATTTGACTAATTTGGAACAATATTGTTGAGTTTATCCCCTTGAGTGCTCAAAGGGACTTTATATGGAATAATATTACAACGAAAAGCTGGCATTGATGTTTATATGTACCTTACTTACATATTATAGGTACGCTATCATCTGTAGGAGCTGAGAGCGTGTGAGAGTAGCTAGTTTAATATAAAAAATAATCGCAAATGTGTTGGTGAGCGCAAAACTCAACAACCCATTTAGTAATTATGCCAGCCCAATTCTTTATTTTGTTGATTTTAGTTTTGCCAGAAAAAGGTTCGTATAAATCAGGATCAAAATGATCGTGATATTAAGAATCATCGGCGATAATCGATGCGAAAACTATCGATCTCATGTTCGATTGTAAAGTATACATACAATACATGTATTAAGTAAGTAGAAATAGCCCCCGACGCAAAAAGAGAGGTGTTGTACATTAGTTTGTTGTTTCCGCATGTATTTAAGTACATGTATTTAGGTACATGTATTTAGTTTTTTATTTATCTGGATCGATGAGTTCGTCTTTGTAAATCGTAGCTCCAAATCCTACTAATAATTATGAATGTGAAAGTTTGTGAGAATGGATTTGTTATTTTTTCACGCTAAACCGAACTGCCGATTTGCTGGAAATTTGGTATGTAAATAAGGTGATGCTCAGGATTAACAAAGGCTATGTCCCCATTTATGTTTTTATCAACATACCATGAGTGATCAAATATTTTTCGTATCAATAAAAGTTACTGGGAGTGTTCTTACTTAGCTATGTTTAATGGTATGGAAATATGTAGGTGACTTATTATTATTACTATCTTTTTATCCTCGCTAGTGTTTTGTTTCTTTGTGTTGTAAAGCGTCCTTTTCGATCGACTGCAACACGATAGTCTCTCACTTTACCATATTAATGGAAAATAAACTTTTTTGCAAAGTATTTAAGGAAGATTTTCCCTCACCAGCCACCACGTAGGTCAAGACGACTGCCTTCAGAACTCCTCGGCCAGTTTTTCCAAAGTACATGGGAAATATTAGCAGACAAATACATCTTATTTGTATTGATATTGCGTTACCAATACCTGGAAATAATACGTATCAATATAAGACTATACTGGATTTAAGTGCGGGAGATCCATGCTTCGGCAAGAATGGGTCGGCTCGACCAGAGTGATACCACGGCCTCACAGAAAACCGGCGATAAACAACCACAGCGTTGATTTTCGCCGTGTGAGTTAGGTTATCGGAGGCCCAATACTCCTAAATTCCCCAAAAGGTCGGCAACGCACTCGTAACTCCTCCGTTGTTGCTGGTGTCCGTGGGCGGCGCTGATTGCTTACCATCAGTAAATCCATATGGTCGTTTGCCGTTCTATCATATAAAAAAATAAATTAGTGGGAAATATTTTGTAAGGGATTTTGGAGCCTGGGACATTGGATAGGTCATTAATGAGAATGGGGTATTGTCACCCAGTCTCTGGACTTTATAAAAAATGTGTTAATCATAACAGGTCGATTGTCGCTTGATATTCAACAGATGGTATTTAGTTTGAGTTACATTACAGGTTTCTACGCTTTTTTCGCCAAAAACGTTATTATTATTAGGTATTATTCTATTAGAAAGTGAAGCTGTCAACAAACACAGAGAACATTCCAGAATCCATTACTGTGGAGAATTTCGAAATTGGAATATACAATGGTAGGCAATACTTTACTGGACAAAGGATTCGGACTCGCCTCCGTGCTCGGCAGAATAGTTACGTTATTAAGTTTTTAAATTTCACAGTAATAGCTGTGTGCGTCTGTGTGCATTTTTGGGTTTCTACTCCGCAGATGCCACTGGGCGTGTTTCTAAATGCACGTCCGGGTTCGGCACAAAAAAAGGTGCTGCGGGTGGCGATGCGGCTCAAACAGCTTCGTAGGTAACGATCATCGCCATAATACATGTGCAGGCAGAATGCTTTGTCGTTTGACTAATTCGTAAAACTTTTAGGTATCTTAACGGGCAATGTTATACTTTGATATGTGGCAGCACTATAGTGCACTCGTATCGATCATACTTCTAAAGGAATCTCAGGCAAAGGGCCATAAAACGTTGCTTGCCAATGTTACCAATCACTGTATTGAAACCACCTATCGTAATTAAACGTTTACCTAGCTTAAAAACAGTTCAGTGAAATACACACCAAGCAATACGCTTATAACTAATGACAAAATAACTCCTACGGAGTTCGGGAACGGGATTCTCTTCAATAAATAGTAATAGTAGGCTTGTCCCAAACAGAAGCCATAAATAAAACTTGTGACTCTCAAGTTATTCTTCTGATTGCACTCTGAGAAAAATGTCCTGTACAACGGTGGGCACACGTAACACAGACATTTCTCAACAAAAACACGCAAACAACATAAAATCTGTTCTAAAATCGTCCCCAAATTGCACATTTAGAAAATATGTTTTTGTTACAAGTTTATTTACTAACAATCTTGACAGTTCCTATTTGTTATCTGTAGACTTCAAAGAGTTTTAAAAGAGGTTGATTACTTAGTCATTGGAAGCTGAGCAAAGAGGTTTTTACAAAAAGGTGTATGCATTATCTCGTTTTAGGGAACAAGTCTTCTACAAAATTATACGAGGAATTTGTAGAAATTAGCTAGTTTTATTTAACCTCTTGTCTGCCGGTATATGAGACACAAAAGAAAACACATTGTGTCTCGCGTATATCCGCGCTCCGGCATATAAGGGGTTAAGGCATATTATGCAACATTATTCTGTAAGTACTGTAGATGCATCCTTGGCAATAAAAAAATAGTTAGGTAACAGATTCCTGCATGGTCTTTGTACACACACATTAAACGTCTTCACTTTGTTGTGTAGTTAAATACCTACATAATGGGCATACAACTTTCTATCCTTTTCAATGAAGAGGAAAGAAACAGCAACCCAAAACGGGCCTCTCCTTTGGTCGGTGCTGCTGCTGCCTGTTACGACCTTTTTTCTCAGGTAAGCGTGTAAAACTGAGTTCTGCCAGCCCTTAGAAATGTAAAAAAACTCGGGTCGATTCGTATTTGGGCGGTTTTTTTATGACGCCGAAGGGTTTTGTTTTTCTTTCCGAGTTAAGTTGCAAGGCAACACGTTAACTGTAGTATGGTTTAAGTTTGAAATGATTTTAACGGTCATAAAATATTAAGTAAAAATAAAACAACAACAAAATGTATAATCAAATTTATTATCGATCATTGTTTAGTATAATTAGTCTTATAAAATTCAATACGTCTTGTATAGAGAACCTAGGTATTTATTGAGATGTGACAAACGAAAATGCTTCACGCAAATAACAGCAGCATTTAAAATGCCAATTTACAATAAATTAACGAATTACTAAACCCGCGACTTACATCTATTAAACTTCAACACATTTTAACGTAATTTTTCTATTTGAAAATAATTTATTGACGAGCCAAGCTGCTGTTTTGTGTATAAGTAAAAATTATCGTAAATGCTATGATGTAAGGGTTCACTTTTGTTTGTAATATTAATAAATAACTTTCAGCGTGATTCGAGACAAAAATTGGGGAATCAGCCGGATTCTGATACAATTTAGCCCCGCTACAGATTAACGTTACAAAACATTGAGATGATAGTAATTAAAGAATTACTGTAAAATATCGTGTTTTTATCTCATAAATATTTTCGAAAAAACAACGATAACAATTTTTGTATTGAAATTAATTTATTGCGCTATTTAACTAGCTGACCTCAAAAGTAAACGCAAAATATTTATAGCGAGTTTATATTAAATAAATAAATAAATTAAATCTGATTGGTTTCTTCAATTCATATTTGACACCAATAATCTAGGAGACTAGTATTCTGTAGATTTTATATACTATCTACACCTGTTTTTTTAATACGCTACTAGAGGCCAAGGCAATACAAAGCATAGCGAAGTAGAATAAACTACTACTATGCTTAGAAGACAATAAATTACTTTATATTAATCTACCTGCATTTAGAATATCCATAATAAATTCTTAAACTATTGCCATGCCATTTTGCGCAATGAGAATTTTCTTTTTAAGAATAAAGGATGTCGCTTATACTTCAGACTAAGACTCAATTTTAGAACATAAAGTGAACCCAAATCTCTGTCCCTCTATACAGTAGGTGTCTAAGACATACACATATTTAATAACGCTTTGTCATAAGTATTTCAGATATCTCATACTCCTATATTGCTACTCTGAAGCATAATACCGATCCAATATATCTGATACACAGCCAATTTGCCAGTCTTTAGCGCAAAACGGGTTGCGCAGTAAATTATGCGCAGTTTTCGCAGATTAACGCAGTCTTACAAAGGATATTGGCATGCGCATTGATCATATAATGAAATACGTAGTATAAATCACATGCGCAAATTGCGCAAACATTGCGCTAATTTAGGGCAAATATTTTCTCAAACGAATGATTTTAGCGCATTGGAAATTATTAGGTATATTTTATACCTAGAGCAATCACAGACTAGTGCCGATGTTTGCATACTCTAATCTGATATGAACTAAATAATATGAGTTCTTATTTCCTACATCGTTATATCAGGTAGCAATATAGGAGAAATACATTATGGCTAAAGAAAGTTGTGCGAGTTGCAGAAGTTGTCGCAGAATAGTCAAGCGGGCTGGAACAAATGTATGCTATGTATGTATGGAGGCGTTACGCGAGGGCGATGGGTGGGTCTTCGTCGTCGTGTTCCGTGATCATCGGCTCTGGCTTGTCGTCCACTTCTGGAACTTGAAGGATCTTAGGCCCGTACAGCAGGAGGTATGCGCAATGCCAGTCACCTGAAGTTAAGCAGTGATTCTAGTGTAAACATGTATGCATGACAGTTCTGTGTGGTTTTGAGTTTGAGAAAGATTATAGTGAGCCTATTAATGACTGCCATTTCTGGAACTTTCCTACCGATGTTGAGGTAGATGTTGCCTTGTAGAGATTTGTATGATAATTTTACTATGAGACATTAATTGATAACTTTCACCCGTCACAGCCCTGTTAGAGTAAAATCTAGATTTTTGTTTAGACTCATTGTCAGAGTATTTGTGTGCGAACCAACTATTCTCGTTAAAGCTAAATGATTAGTCAGACTAATAAAATAAGATTATGTCGTGACATACCGCCTCCGCTGAGCTTGAGCACCTCCTCCTCGGTGACGGGAGTGACGGCGTCGTCGTCGCAGCGCAGCCAGGAGTCCCCGCGAGCGACCCAGGCCACGTAGTGCCCGGAGGACGACGAGCGCCCGCGGTGCGTCAGTACTGCCTGCAGCCGGTAGTACCCGCTGTTGTTGCTGCCTACGTCTAGTAGAGGATATTCATTTTTTAATTATTAGCTCTAGCTTTAATCCACTTATACTAATACTAGCTACTCTCACGCGGCTTCACCCGCTGCTACAGATCCTAGCGTGATGTTTTATAGCCTAATAGCCTTCCTCGATATATGGACTGACTAACAAAAAGAATTGTTCAATTGGAACCAATAGTTCTGAAGATAAGCGCGTTCAAACAAACAAACTCTTCAGCTTTATAATATTAGTATAGATTATAATGTATGTAGGGGGTAATCTTTAGAAACACTGGTCAGATTTCCAAATTTTTTTCACTGATAGACAGCTACAATATTCCTCGATGGCTATAGGCAATAAAATATTTGACTTGCGTGTTTTAGTCGAGCTAAAGCTTAAAACGATGCTGTTTTTTTTCAATCCCGGGATGCCTCGGCTTTCAGCAGGAGAAGGTATGGGGTTTTTTAGTCAGAAAGCTTCATTTAATGATTTACCCATCACAGAAATATGGTCTGGATGTGATGTGTATAGTAGGAAATGGTATCGAATCTATTAACGCGCCGCTCTTAAAATAGGAGAAAATAATCAAGTGCCATGTTTGAAAAGTCATCCAGTCCAGTACATACTTTACTGTGTTACGGGGTTTAACGCGCACGTACCTTTTATTTGTTTTTTGCTAGCCATTTCGACAAGGTTACACCTGCCGTAAAGTATTAATATGCAACAAAAAAAAAAAAAAAATTAAAGTATAATGTCCAGTATACATACCATTAGGGAACCAGTAGGGTACAGATCTCATCGGGTCCTTTTTCTTAATTTCTTTTGAACTGTCTCCATGGTTCTTGGAACTTAGAGACGACTCCACATTTGCGTCTTCATATTCCTGACAAATAAAATAAAATTGTTTATTGAGTCAATGTCAAAAGCGAGAAAAATTATATATAAGGTATATACGCAAAAATAACACTTTTAAATTTTTTTGTATGTCTGATCATTTGTTCCAACTAATCTTTGGAATGGCTGGATGGATTTTGATCAGAATTTTATTAACAGGCAACTGATGTAATAAGGTGTAACTAACTATTAAGCCCGAGTTATAAGCTTCTGTTATTTAAGACAATAAAATATTTTTATCTGTTAGTTCTGCGCGTAAGTTATGCGGACGAATCGCGGGTAGAAGATAGTAACAAAATATAGTTCTATTATTAACAAACACAGCAATTACTCCGAGTTGGAAAAAAAAATCGGATCATCCGTTTGAGAGTTACGATGCCACAGACAGACACATAGACACGTCTAACACCGCGTCGTTTTTGGGTCGGGCGTTAATAAAGACCTACCTTAAACTTGTTCCTCATAGGCATCAATCTCTCTTGCAGCTCGGGTGAGCAGAGCTCATACACGTCCAGCTCCAACGGGAACTTCACGTCCTTCAGGATCTTCGCGTTGATCGACTCCTTCTCCTTGTAGTAGAATCTCACGAATTGCACCGTTAAGTACGCTGGCAGACGACTGATTTTGCTCTGTAATAAAAAATATAATTTTCTTTAGAAGTCACTAGCTATTGTGCACTGTCTATGTATTTTTGAGTAAATAAACACTACAATAAACACGCTAGGTAACATTTGTCGTGTAATGACGAAATCAAGACTGTCACATAAATATTAGGTCTACCTACACTATATTTAACTTCATATTACAACAAAGTAAACAAGAACCCACATAACTCAACCATAAATAACACTAGCTTTTAAGAAAAAATCGTAGCGTCATGTGCATAATTCGACGTTAATAAATAACGAAAAATGTAAAATTTCTGTTTTTTATTATGTGATCGGACGATTACTCGATGGCAAACAATCGCCGCCGCGAATTTACAGAGGTTAAGAGTGTGATGCCGGCCTTTTGGAAATAAAAGATTTTGAGGATTTCGGGTTTGGATAGGGATGGGAAAGATTAACGATTGGACCTTCGTTAACCACTCATACAGCGAAACACGACGCTGAGACTTCTACGACTAACAGTTTCGGCTATCCATATTTACTATTTACCGATTGAAAGGGGGATATAAGATTATATATATATATTAGGGATAGAAGAGATACCATAGATATAAAAAAATATGACTTACTGTTTTAGTGTAGATTGCATCCCTTCCTAAGGTTTGTGACAATTTTGTGATTTGCTCGGACATTTTCTGAAATAATAATGTTCAGAATTATTAAAGTTTGAACACTATTCATTATTTTTCTTTCATATTTATTGCATAGCTTCGTAAATTATTAAATCAAGAATAACAATTAGTAGATAGTTTTTTGGAAGTCATAAATTATCAAACAAATACAAAATCATAGTTGCAAATAAAAAAAGGGTACATACAGATCGGAGCCCAGACTGCAGATACTTGACATCTTGCGAGATGAAGCAGGATAACTGCAGGAAGGTCTCAGTAGAACGGGTGGGAGGTTCTTCTGCCTCCGAGCATACCAGCTCCACATCCAGGGTACCACCGAAGTACTGCTCAATAACTGACGATCTGGATATCAAGGAGTTGTTCAGTCAGATTTGATCAGACAATTTTGGAAAGTTAGGAACGGTTAAGACACAGTAACAAAAATAAAACAGCAAAGGTATGTCTTAGACAAATTATGGAGATACTAGCTCCGGCCCGCTGCTTCGCCCGAGTGGTATGTTGATAAAGAGCAGCCTATGTGTTAATCCAGGGTACTATCTACATACCAAGAGTGAGAGAATAACAAACACTTTCACATTTATATTATTAGTAGCATAATTAGGATTGTTTAGTAGTGGGTAATCCATATTCTCATCATTAGGGCCATACAATTGACATATTTTGAAAAGTACACCAAAGAATCGCTGGTCTTTAAAGATTAAAAATAAAACTGTTGCTTAAAATTTACCTATTTGCTGGTGCATTGGGCGCAGATGGCAGCCTGGCTTGTAGCGCCCTGATGATCTCAGTCCAACATTCCGACGCGTCCTGTTGCGCCAGGCCTCCGCCAGGTCCACGCTCCGCGAAGCGTGGCGCAGTGGCGTGAAGGGCGCGCAGTAGCTTGGCAGCTGCGCCCGCGCAAGCTCCAGCCCCGCCCCCTTCTAACGCTGACATCGTGTCGCTCAACGCCGATGTTAACTCCCCCGCGGTTCCACCACCAGATGCTAAAATTCAATTATTATTTTGATTAATAACTAGCTAATATCTACGGCTTCGTACACTCACGAGGCGCGAGTTTCCAAAGATCATTTTAGAAATATTGTTTAGTCAAGCTGTTGTACGGGATTTTAAATCTGTATAGCATAGATTTATAAGATTTATAAAATTTCGTCCTCTCTTAAACTTTTTTGAAAAACAACTAATTCTTTTTTGTGCTTGTAGGTTTAATAATATTCATAATAAAAAAATAAAAAATAATCAATTTTGTATTAGAATACATTCTTGAGATTGAGTGTAACACAACTAGTAAACAAATTAACATGATTATTCTCTGGGCCAAACTAATAATATTAAAATATTTGACAAAGGTTGCAAGAGTAATATGAAACTTACACTTATCATAACTAAGTAAGGCATTCTTAAGTTCAGGTACTGTCTTCAGGCACTGTACTGTAGCGTTCATGTAGCATGTGTTGCCCAAGTTGATAAGACCCTCGGGCAAGTCCAACTAAAAAACAAAGAAAAGTAATTATTAATATATTATATTACAAAAAATATTGATACTTCTTTCATTAAGCTTGAATTTGTCACAGTTTAGCAATATTGTGAATATAACAAAACTATGTACAAAGTATGGCTTTTATTAAGTTTGGGAAAAATAAAAAAGATCTATTTTTGAAAAAGGTGGAATAACTTAAACAATACATGATATTAATTATCAGAAAATATTCTTTAGAACAATTATATTAACAAAGGCGATCCCAAACTAGAGAAAAGAAACTAAATTCCAATTCTATAAATAAAAAAAACTTTGAAAGTAGATATTAGTAGAAAAAACTCACAGCAGTAGCAAGCTCAGACTCATTCATGTCTTCTACAAAGCGTGTTTGTTCCACGGGAGCAGATGGCACATCTTCCTCCTTGCTGCCCATTACCAGCACCAGAGCATTCTGGAAAATAAAAACATTGGTTAGAACCAGATTTTCCACAGGCCTAAATTTTTTATGAAACATGACAAAAAAATCTGTGAATATATGAAATAGCAAGTTATGTCTATGTTATGTGTTTAGTTTTAAGTTTCGAAATGTTGTTATTCATTTACATTTTGAAATAGGTGATGAAGCATTTTTTTCCAACTAGAATTAAGGGCCAGTTTCGCAAAGCCTGAACATCTGATGAGTTACAGATGAATTTGACCACAGAACATAATTTATATGAACTATAAAACATATTAGTGTATAACTTTTTTATTTTTATTTATCCTTTTATTTCAGGCATCGAAGGCCTTTAACCCATGGGTATGCAGGAATGTATATATATACATATAAGATATATTTATAATATTCACAATGTATTTTCTATTGTGTCTCATATACTGGCAGACTAGAGGTTAAGTCACTAGTTGAGATGACTTTAGTTCTTAAATACAAATAAACAGTATATAAACTTACATTAGACAACTTGAAGTTGGCCCAAGAATCGTCCCTAAGAGTGACCCCTTTGCAGACCACCTTCTGTCTCTCAGGCTGCACCCCAGTGAGGGCAAAGATCTGTGCCTTGAACACCACAGGTTCATCATCTGTGTTCACCTCCACTCCTGGATACATCTCCTTGCCCCATTTTACCTTAACTGTAGACAATAATGACTTATTGACATTCGTAAACATACTTTTAACCATTCATGGAGATTTAACATTCTTATCCTTATAGAAACCGTGCATTTTAATTTGAATAAAATGTTGCGATAACAAATATTGGCAAATTATTCGTAAAAGAAATTGTTTTTGTTTGGATAAAAGATAAGTATTTGGTATGAATTTTAATGTGTATTACACTCGGGATATAATTTCTAAAAATATTTTAATATAATTGAGGACCAATTAGGTTTTATACGCAAGAAAACATCGTAATGCCGGGATTGTTTTACGGACAAATAGGGGACGCGTCATGACTATGCATTTTTAAATAAAACATACAACTTTATCCTATCATCGTAGTTAGTTTCAATACACGATTTTAACATTATTAATCGAATTCAAGAAGCAAATTATCAGAAAATAATATTAAAAAGTTAAATGACAGTTGGATAGCTATAACCTCAATACTAAAACAATGATGTAGCATTTTCTGAAAGTAACAAGTATTCAAGTTCAGTATTTACCTGAAACCTTAGGCATTCTGGATTAAGTTCACGTAACACTGAAGTTTACAAAACAAATAGTTATTCACATTAACTTGCAAGAAACTGAAAGTCACGATTCGCATCCGAAATGATGACAAAATTGACAGATAGAATCAATCGAATGAGTTGACAGCTACAGAGTAAAAAACTTAACGTTTCGTTACTCGCAGCGTTTCTTGCAGTTAGACTGAATTTGATTGATTATTTTTGTCTCGTACATACTCTAATTAATTAGTTGTAACTTGAACTGTATTTGAATTTTTTTCTTTTATTTAATAATGTATTACTTATTGCTGAGGACGGCCTCTTCTCACGTGGGAAAGGTTTGAGCAATAAACACCACGCTTACTCAAAGCGGATAACCGATTTCAAACCCACAAGTATCTACTTGTAGTATGAGTATTATTTAATAAATTATATACTTTTTCCTTGAAAATATTATTATTCTAAACTATTTTTAAATTATCTAATGCTTGATCTCTTTTACTAAGTCCATAATCAAACAATATGAACCCACAACATGCAGAATACTATGGCTATATACTACACAATGGCAATCGCATTCAGGTTACGAACACTAATATGTGCCAACACAATCTGCACGTTTGGTTTGCATTGGTATTCAAGACATTGACGCATACAACACGCAAACCCATAAAAGCCTATTTGTACAAATAGATGAGTAAAATTTTCTCGAAGGCTTTTTCTTATGTGATCGCGATCGCACGTCTCACTTCACGCGGGAGCTATTCGTTCGATGAACTTTCCACCGGCGAAGGCTGCGCAAACGCCTCCAGGCGCGTCAAGCGCACGCCAGTCTCCAAACATATTCTTGGCGTGTTGGACGTTGGTACATTTTTTGTCGGCTTTCCGCGATTTTCTCACGACATCAGTTTTGTCCCAATTGGCACAGGAGCTACAGTGAAGTGATCGTAAAGTGTTTATCAATAGTGGAATATAGTATTTTATGCAATTAAATTTGAATGCGGAATGATAATCGGACTTGTGAAGGAACATCGACTGCCGAAGCCTACTGTAAGTTTGCAAGCTTTTGTGGTTAGATTAAAGGCCAATAAGTTTATTGCCGGTGGCTCTACAGGTGCGGAAAAGGTGGTGTTGACCGCTAATCGACGTTTAATGTAACTTTAGATGCTTTGTGTTAGCGATTACTGTTCCATACATCAAGTTGATAACACCTAAAATACTTAAGTGCTTGAAAGCAATTTGTTTTTAACAACATTACCTGATATTTAAATTAAATAAGACTTGTAATTCATATCCATACGATACTTTAAATAAAGAATTTAGTTTTTCTTCGCAAAGAAAATAATATGTACCTAATACTAAAATATAAAATAAACACCAACAATCTAATAAGACATTAGGAGCGTAGACCGGAAAACAAAACATAATAAAGGAGGATGAATATCAAAATAACTGGTTTACGAACTTAGGTATCGGATAATTAAGAGTACCAACAGAGAGGATGTCATAAAAACGATCGTGTTTTATTTAGTCTTTATGTATTCTCGTTGAATTGGATACAAAATAAGGACAATAAAGACGTGATTGTTTGCCGGGCAGAGTAGAGATATTCGGGCATCGATTAACATAAAATAAAGTCACCTGTCCAAACACTTGAATCATTTCAAGTTTGCCTCCACATTAGCACGAGCGCTGTTTAGAATACAAAAAAGCTTTGGTTAATCGTGGACGTGGATTCCTCGAGATGTTTTTGCCTTGGCGTGAGGAATTTATAATGCGGTGCCCAGGACTTTACGTTTCATTTACCTGACGGTAATAGCCCGGCCGCCGTCCGCGCCTGCGCAGATGCCATAATGATAACATTTCGCTTTACTACTTACTTGTTCTTGTCGTGCTCAGCGCTCCCCTGTACTTATGTTTTCCTTGTACTTGGAACTTGAACAAGGATTTTGCAGAAACAAAATCAGGCTTAGCAACTATTGTAAAAATAGTTAAGACTAAAGAATAACCATAAAATGCATCATAAAATCTCGGTTCTAGCGAGAATATCTATAAAGTATCTAACTACACCAATGGAAACATGTACTTTCTAATTAGATGGGTTAAACATGAGATTACTTAGGTTTAATAAGTCTCCCAAATTGTAGGAGAGTTATGCTTCGGTACGAATGGGCCGGTTGGAGTGTGCCTAGCCTCTGAAAAATAATGCTTGCGTTGTGTTTTGCTATGTGGGTGAGATTACACTCCACTTCCAAATGCGATGTCTAAACCCCCCAAAAACCTTAAGCCCAAAAAGCCAGCAACGCACTTGTAGGTCTTCGATATAGTCGGTGTCCTTGGACGGTGCCGATTGCTTACTATCAGGTAATGGACCCGTTTATTTGCCGACATATCCAATAAAAAAGGTGTATCATAATAAGTATGTTACAAATCCTAAAAAAGTAACTTATTCTTTGACGAAATAATATGACGAAATAATTTTATTACGGGATGATTCTCACAGAATTCATTTGAGTGAAATAATAAATAAAACAGAAGTGCTGTTGAATGAACCATCGTAATAGACACTAAGTAGGTTCCACGAAAAAGTTTGGCGTCAAACGCAAAAAGCCGAAGAATGATTAATTACCAGCTGAGCTCGCAATCCGAGGTTTTTCTTATCAATAGACACTTTCACTTGCGTTTTACTAGAAACGTTTAGATATATTGTTTTGACTGTTTTGTAATAGCAATTAAAGATGAACCATTCACGTGGAAAAATGAAACTAAGTACCTGCTTGATTAGTTCTATTTTTCCTTTGTATTTTTGCTGGTGGGAATGGCCTAAATCATGGACAAATTACGGCATCCGCATATATTCTTATACGGTATGTGTATAAGCATGTGCCTACATGCATTCGTATATTTGTTAACTTATCCAAAACAAGTCAACAAGTCGGTCATACAGAAAAAAAAATGGACAGCTTTTTTTTTCTGTATTGAAATGAAACATACCTATTATATTTATTGTTAGGTATTCTTTTGCATTGTAGACATAGATGATTAACGATGTTATAAAAATTCTCGAAAGACATTCTACCATGAGTCGACCAGTGGACCGTCATTTGTTTCCTTTGACCACCAAATAAGTTGAAATAGTAGGTAACTCGTGAGTCATACTTTATTGAAATTAACGACTTACTTAATGTGAATTAATTGAAAAAAGCTCTACTAGGATCACGAAACAGAAAGAACAGCGGTACCGAGGCACTATGGGACTCTTATCTACCTACTGGTCACCGCGACGTGCACGTTTCTAATGAATAGTAGAGTTTCTTTCAGTTAATTCAGGTAAGCAAGTCGTTATTTTAAATAAATAAAAAAGTTTTTAAATATTTCCTATTGACTGTACTAAATGAATGATCGAAGATAATACCTTTTCATTGGTAACTGATACGTGGTGGTGAGACTTGTAAGACTCGAAATCGAACGAGTTCTCGGGTTCAATTCCCGAAAAAAAAATCCGTGTAATTTCAAAATGTCCTCTGTACAAAGTTCAGTTAATAGAAGAGTAAGACAAAATTGGTATACCTAGACAAAATTCTATCAAACAAGAGCACACAATAACATACATGATGTTTTCTTTACTATTTATATAATTGCCGTGTAATTAAATTAATATAAGAGATTTAATTAGGTACGTAAATTATATTATATATGGTCAATTAATATATGGATTTTATCTATCGTAGGTACAGATATGGAGAGCTTATCACCATTCGCGGGAAATTACATAATACATATAAGGTAAAGCTAATCATACCTAAACGATTAAAAAACAAGCCGACCAATTAGAGTGACTAATGCGAGTTTGGCTTTCTTCAAGCTCGACATGTTTATGACGTCCGACGCTCTGATTGGCCGGCTGCAAATTAATCAGCCAATCAGAGGGCTTAACGCGGTTAGGTTGCGTTAACGTAAAGAAAACTCGCACTAGGCGTTCAGTGCATTAATCTTTCGATGAAAATTCTTATAAGGTAAAGCTAATCATACCTAAACGATTAAAAAACAAGCCGACCAATTAGAGTGACTAATGCGAGTTTGGCTTTCTTCAAGCTGATCGACATGTTTATGACGTCCGACGCTCTGATTGGCCGGCTGCAAATTAATCAGCCAATCAGAGGGCTTAACGCGGTTAGGTTGCGTTAACGTAAAGAAAACTCGCACTAGGCGTTCAGTGCATTAATCTTTCGATGAAAATTCTTTGATGTTATTTAGTTAAATAACTTAGGTAGGTATTATTGAAGAATACATGCAGCTAAAATACATTTTTCCTCTTCTCTTCCATAATTCTAAACATGATTGCTTAGTGTAATCAGGTCCTCAGTTCGCGCATCGGTTAAATTACTTATTGTTATTTTTTTTCTAACTATGTTATTTCTTTTTTCAAAATAGCTATCTTTATCGATTTTTTCTCTTTTACCACGCACGGTAACAGATTGTTTTTTAATAAAACTATTGTATAACAACTCTTTCTTTATATTAAGTTTTTAAATAATAATAGTCGATCAATAAGTACTTAGTTTTACATTCGGCATGTTTCAGTTAGTCTTTTTAATTCTTTATTAATTCAGTATACCTAATTTATAATAATTATGCTAAAAAGTTCTTAACAATTCAGGAACACGCTATACCTATTATTATTTAAAAGGAGAAATAAAATGTATTACAATACCTACATACACATATTAAGAAACAAAAACTGAATAGGTAGTGTAGATACTTTTTCGTGCGAATATTTGCAATGGATTCATGAATACATTTTTTTATTCGAATAAATTAATTTACTAAAGTAGGTTGACATAATTTATTGTTAGTTAGGTGTAAATAATCGTTTAATCTGTTACGCAATATTATAATATTCGGCCTAGATAGCATTCCTCACGCAGCGCGCCGCGCCGCTTATCTAAGATGCATAAATAAATAACATATTATATTTATCTTTTGCTTCAAATTTTCCATCCTCCGTATTGGATTTTATTCATACGCTTTGTATAAAACATAAATCTATTCAGATTTGGAACGACTCCCCACAGATTATGCAAAATATTTTTTTCTACCTATGGCGGGTAAAACCTTCGAAATACGAAATAAGCTGAATGGGACAGGAAAATTAGAAACTGTGCGAATTTTACCTCACTAATGCCACCCCAAAGAGGTTATATCGTCATTGTGCCACCCAAATCATCATCAGTACCCATAAGATATTCCTTATATACATCATCGAAATGGTCTGAATGGCTTCTTTTAGACCACACGTTTGCACTTGCTGTTCAGACAAAGTTATAAAGAATTGTTTTTGCTTTACTTTTTAATATCAATATCTATTTTAATTATCTCACGGCTATAAAAACCTTTTAATATCTATTGAGAAGATAAAGCTCTTGTTTCATTCATTCTGTGTAAAATTCATTGAAACCGGAGGCTTTCTAAAGAAGTTTCTCAATTACGGGTGATGTTTTTTTAATGAACGTTGCCCCACCATAGGATTTTCTCCTGTGTCGTGGGTGCGTTTACAAACATACAATTTCACATACACATCACACTCAGACCAGGATCAACAACAATTTGTGTGATCTCACAAAGAGTTGTTAGGTGCGGGGATCGAACCCGGGACGCGTTGCGGCACAATTTTACTGGAATAACTTTGATTGGTTGTATATATAGTATTTATATCAGTTTAATGATAAAACGTTTCAATGAATATAATAATTTGGCAGTAGCAATGCTGAGAATGCTAGTCCGACAGTAAGGCAACAAAAAAAAAATAAACGTTGTTCTGTCGTATAGGAAGACAACATATAAATAAAACAAACTTAACTTCAGTATTAGACCCTACGATACCCTCCAGTAAAAATGTATTAAATCGTGACCTCACATAATATTATGACGGGGTTGCGGCGTAAGCGCAATAAGGCACGGCAGCCTCGGCCTAAAGCAGGAAAAGGAACGGGGCTTTTAGTAAGTAAGAGCCTGACACTTCCTCTCACCTCACCCTGGGTGGGAGAAGTCAATTGATGACATGATATTATGACTTCAAATAAATATATCGTCGAAAGTATTTGTCTCCGTAAGAAAACAAAAGTAATTGTCTAATATTTTCAAAATAAATGTTCTGACAACTATTTAATTTCAATTCCTTGCAAATTCTGATACAAAAAATATTTGTCGCGGTATTAATACTAAATATTTTTCATAACATTTAATGTCATGGATATCCGCAAAGTAACGCCTGATTCTATTAATTATATTCAAATTAGTTACCATCCATTCCTTTTTTTGGGGGCAATTCATCAAAAGTCTTTTCCTGTCCTGGGTGGTGCGAGACATTCTGACATCTACTGACTGAAAACCACCCCATACCTTCTCCTGCCCCGGCTTGGGGCCGCGGTATTGATTTCGCGTTTACACTAGCAATCCACCCGCAACCCCGTGACGCCATTGGTATACCATCAATGAAAGACATAAATATCTATCATCATAATTATTAGTCTCTAAGTGCCCACTTCTCACACGGAGAAGGTGAGCATTAATCACAACGCTTGCTCAATGAGGTTGGCGATTTCAAACTTATAATTAGGTTTCGAACTCGTATCCTCATGCATGAGATGACTGCACGGTTGGTGCGGTGGCTGGGCAACTGGCTGCCGTGCAACGTGTCGCGGGTTCGATTCCCGCACGGAATAACTCTTTGTGTGATCCACAAATTGTTGTTCCGGTTCTGGGGTTTGTAACCGCACCCACGACACAGGAGAAAATCCTAATGTGGAGTTATGTTTAAAAAAAAAAAAGAGAAGCGGGTCGGGCCGGGCGACCACGACAAATATATAGGTATATAGTTATGTTATATACCGCGTATTGAACTAGCAATTTATCTATTTGTTGATTACAATCTCGCAAACTTTCGCTAATAAATCATGACTTTAAGTATGAAATACGCAGCTAAGTTCTCTCTTGTTAATAAGTAGCTTGATTTATGGCAGCGAGGAAATATCACGTAACGAACTAATTAATTATATTTGTAGGAAACATATCGGAAATATATGATTTATCATTTTTTTAAATCTTTATTTTATAAGGAATGATTTATCATTGTATAACATCACACCTCTTATTTGAAATTAACTGAAAAAAATCTAAACAATACGGTATTTGACAACTAGTTGTCAAATTCAATACTTTTATTAAAATTACAAAATCGAAACTATTTTATTATTTGATATAGAAAACAGAAATCTGAGGTCATCATATTTTTAGACAAATAAGCATACCTTTTTCTTAAAATCTAAAATTGAGTATCAAATCCATCAATGAAGTACGATTTTTTTTAATTATTGAATTGTATTGAAATCTTGAAGGCTTTAATTTTTGACCGTGAAAAATACCCAATTCATATTTTACGTGTTACGATAACGAAACTATTACAGTTGAGGTATTCCTCGTAGCGCTCCCATTTTGGAACGCTCCCATCTAAGCGCTCCCGTTTTATTCCTCGAAGCGCTCCCAAAAGGAGCGCTTAAAGGAACGATTAAAAATAATAAAATTTATTTCATCGAAGTGCTCCCACGTTTAAAAAATAGGGAAAAGCATGAAGTAAACGTAATGGATTATATCGATAATTATGGAATAAAACGGGAGCGCTTAGATGGGAGCGTTTCAAAACGGGAGCGCTACGAGGAATACCTCTTACAGTTTACATACTCGTTTTTACTAACGACTTATCCAAAAATTTTTGAGACTGTTCTACATAAATATGGTCATCATTTTGATAAGGTTGTAGAGTAGAAGATTATTACCAATTTCTTACATGGTTCTGGGTTTTTAATGGCTTCCTATTCAGCCTTATTCAATTTAAAACTTGTTGCATTGATATAAAAAGCTCCAAAAATATAAAAGAAGTGTAGAGGATTACACAATTGTGGGTATAAATTCGGCAGTGGCTACTGGGTCGTCGTCCAGAGGCGTCACGGTTCACGCTTTGTGCCTCCGACTCCTTAACTAATTATATCATATTCGTTACCTACGTACAACATCGTACTGTTACTCGAATTACAATTATATAAGAATTGTATTTCAGATTCAATGCGCTATACAAAAGACATCAACGCGCGCTGTATAATAATACCGCACGATTGAAATATTTTTATTACTTTACATAAATTTTTCCAATAATAATAATTGAGATCGTACAATATCGTTAAAATGTCATTAAATGGCGTTAATGCGTTTTTGAAATTAAGATGTCATATTAATAAAATTAATTTATTCAAATCACAACATTAAAAATAGTATAATCGGATTGGATATTTAAAAAACTCGACATGATCTAAATAGAAATAAAACTCAAAAAATACTTTTCCTGCTCGTAAATATATCGGAGATGACATCTTTACATAATAGTGACATAACGGCGGCATCATGATGATGAACGAGCCCTGGCGGCGCGGGTCACAGTTTTATCATTTTATACGAACATTAACAAGACAAATTACTCGCACCACGTAATCTACGGACATGTTCACATGCCATTTACTTCATCATTACAACGTTAAAATGTAAACTCACAAATGTGACATTTCGTAACATGATGTTACAATTCATTAACAATGTTACATCATGTTACAATGGGTAACATGATTAAATCTTTGCAGTGTAACATTTTAATGTTATGTAAAATACGGAAACGTTGAACGGAAGCGTCTATAGGCATCAATTTAATGATTTATGGTGACTTCTCGGTGATGTTG